TTTTTGGTAGTCGGGACTGCGTTCGCGCTGTCCCGGAATATTATAATTAAAACAAAATAAATTTTCTAGTATAATATAAAATAGAGAATAGTTGAAACAAATGGCATAATCGGAGTTGCAAAGGGAGCAATAGAAACCCCAAGAGCTAATTAATTTTATGTCTAATCGTTCAACTTTTGTTTTTGTTTTTTTTATTTTACTTTTTTTTACAAGTGAGTGATATTTTTAGAATACTGTTTTTTATTTCGGAGATAAAATCTAGAAAATGTTTTAAAAATTTGTAAAAAAGAAAAGAACTTGTTGTAAAACGATCCTCAGTTCTAAAGCACTCTGTCATTATTTTCTCAAGCTTCGTCTATTCACTGTGCGGTAACGAATTAGCATTTGGAGACTTATGTATATACGAATGCGAAGCACGATAAGCGAGTGACAACTCGTATTACGTCATCGCTACACACGTGCACGCCGCGCGTGCCGAGTGTACGCATGAGCGAGTAAAAAAGAGAGAAAGAGAACCGCTTTTTTAGAGCTTCGTGACAGGAGCGGGTTGAAATTGGCATCTTTGACATTCTCCGCAGAGCGTATCAGGGGTATAGTGACCGTTCTCGTGTCTTGATTGCGTGCCATTAAATGTGATTATTTTTTATTAGTGACAATCGAGAGTTGAACAGCTCTAAATGCAGGTAAAATCCGCTTTATTTATTTCGTCAAAATAATTTCCTCGATTCTTCTTTTTATTTTTACTATTTATGTATTTTTTACGATAAGATTTTTTCATATGCAAACGCACAATAATATTTAAAAAATGTAATACATTTTATTATAAAAAACTATTAAATAGCATTAATTTGCACATATTTTCTGCATGTATATTTTGTATTATTTAGTTGAGAAATAATTATTGTAATTTATATTAGAAAGTATCATATATTTACAAACGTTGCGGTCTGACATCAGGCCTTCTTCAGTGTACAATAATAATAAATAACAGTCGCGTACAATAATTTAGCAAATAAAATAACGTGAATTATATTAAAACTTGAAATACGTAACGCATTATTCAAAAGTTGCTAAGTATAGATTGGCGTGTGACTTTATTTTGAGCATCTTTTAGTTTCTGTTAGACTATTTTTTAAACAGTTTAAGACCAACACTTTTATAATAGTTGAAAAATTGCATCTGAAGAATATAATTTGCTATAAATTGAGTTGTATTGAGTATTGTTGTTATAAAGAAAACATAGAGTTGAAACTTAGTATGTAAACATCAACGTATAAAATTTTATTGTATAAAATTACAAAAATTCTTTATATACATGTAACGCAAAATTACAAAGATATTCCGTTATATGTACATTTAACACATTTTTTATTTTTAGCGTAAATATTTTTCCTTAGACGAGACAATCGATAACTTATTTGTACAACTTATTCACAGTGTAATTTTCACACACAGTGTGCAAATTTGTAAAAAATGTTTTTCCTTTAATAATAGCAGTGACTAGAGCAAGAGATATGTGAAAAATTTGTTACGGTGTTGTTTGCATAACTAATGGATAATAGGAATATTCACCGGATATCCGCGCTATACGCAGCTAGTTTTATTATTGAAATTTCTGGTTAACATAGACACTAAATATAGATGTGAGCGGATGATTAAAGTGGACGATAAATAAAGTACCAAAAGGGACAAGCGGCGAAATTGCGGCGAGTGCGCATTTTGGTACTCCAATTTGTATGTCGGCATCGTCGACGACTATTCGCCGAGGCGGCCTACCGCGATCGTCCACGACTTCCCAGTCTTCATCAGAGCTGACAGCTTCTAGAAGAGAAGAAACGGCCGCCGTCTGGCGCTGCACCGACATAAAGAAACAAAACGGAACGGAAGTGGAAGATGTCTATCTATAGCCCGACGTAAACGCGACGGCGACGCTCGTCGTCATCGTCGTGAGCGACGCGTCGAGAGGCAGTTAACAAAAATTACAAGAAGGCACAATATAATAGATCAGCATTTCTCAAAGTTACAATAATCATTATTACTACTCTTGTTCTTACGGCATAAATTTTTGAAAAACTGAAGAAGGGATATTTTTCCTGATATAATATATATAAGCCCTTAATTTTTATGTTTTTACTCTTTCTTTGGGAGATTATTCTTAGAACCAAATAGATGCTCTGCTCATAAATTTGCGCTCTATATTAATACCAAATTCGTCTTTTTTTCAGAGAGCTTATTCGTTGCCGGCACGGACGCACACTCCGACTTCGCAGAATCGCGTTAATTTACGTCGAAGTGTCAGAAACGATCCGCCGCCGCATCCAGCACGTCTGGACAAGCATCGACGGGGTTGGACGCTACACCTGGCTCGTCCCCTAAAGACATCCGGATGCTCCAGCTCGCTTGCATCTCTTCTCGTCGTTCTACTAATCTTGCTAGGAGTCGCAGGAGTTGCGTTATACATCGTTTTTGGTGAGTGACTCTTCATTTATATTTCTTTACTCTTTATATTGCTAATTTTTTTATCATCGAGTCTTTATTTATGACGTGAAAAATTTGAAATTTTTGTGCATTATTTTGATGCTCATTATTCTGACTTTTTAACAAGTTTTGATAAGAATTACGGGAATCCTAATTTCCTGCGAAAAACATTCATGTACTGAAAAATATAAAATTTTATAATGTTTAAAAAACAAAATTCTTTATTTTTACATTAGAATTAAAGTTTAATTTTAATTTTTTATCAAAATTTACATCCCTAGAGATTGAATCGGAAAATAATTTACATGGAGAATGTTGATATCTGAATCGTTGAATCCGAGGAAAATGACGGTCTTATTATTCTATGCATTTTCCAAAATATAAATTTTGTGATGTTCTAATTATTACATCTATTTATAAAATAAGATATTGTTATTCAGATGAAGATATAAAAAAAGAATATAAAGAGAGTATAGAGAATATATATGTATATATATTCTTTGCTTTTTGCTTCTCTGTTAATCCATGTAAAAGTCGTAAAGGGAAATGTAAAACTATATTTTAATTATGATTTTTTATTTGATCACGCATGAAGAAATAACAGTAGCTCAATGAATATTTAATAGAGAGCTAGAAATGGAATCGCGTTTACTTGTCAGAGTGAAATATTACTCGGTTCGAGGGATTTAATCGTTGGATCAAAACGTTTATTGATTTATCATAGAAGCTTAATTCATCTCGCACTCATGATGGCTGCACATTAAATCATCTTCCGTATTGCTAGAGAGTATACGTGGTGCGCAATATTTTTACCTTAGATCCTTAGATTTAAGAAGCTAGATTCCTTCGGTCAAAATTTTAACAAAACGTCATTATTTCTTTTTGTTTTTTACTATAAACCATTTCATTAATTGTTATTTTGCCCGTGACAAACGTCACAATTTGTTTATAATCTTATCACTTTTAATATTTATTAGTAGGATCATTTAATGTAAAAATTTATAACGTTAGTAATATAAAGCTGATAATTGTTCCAATGATACATTTTTTTCTACTGTTTTATTGTTTCAACCTTACTATATATCATGGGTTGCGTGTTGGTACACCCTATATTGGCCGGGAATAAACGGGCATTCACAACTGCCGGCGCCATCGCCTTATCATTCGGGCAATTAAAAGTATCTGCATCCCCAGCTCGAGCCCAGCCAACAGCGTCGGGAAAGGCTGAGGTTTAATTCGACGAAGCGTGGCAATTGCTCCAACGAGATGAATTTAACCGCGGGGTCAACAGAACATTTCCTTCGACCGTGTGCGCGCCTGGTCGATCGAGTTGAAGCGCGGTCATGTAGTGTAAGACGCGTCGTGATGCGCGATCAAAAGTGGCAAAAGCCAATGACCGTGTGTTTCTGCAGACAATGCTATGTCTGGAATCCTGAAGCTCGCGAGAAAGTCTCCGAGTTGTTCTTTCAACCCTTTATGGACGAAATGAGGATTATAAGAGTCGCATTCTTCATTTTTTTTTATAAAGTTGAAAAACTTTAGTATGCTTTCACAAATTTTATCGAATCACCAAAAAATGATTCAACATCAAATGACAGTTGGATTAAATTTTTATTTTCTTACGGCAAATTAAAAAAATAATTAAAGCGAAAAAATATCGAATTGGAAAGAAACATAATATTTTAACTAGATCATTCGAGATCTCTTCTCATGTTTTATTGCAACTTTTCATTTTTGTATTTTGATTATTTTTATTGTTCCATTTTTGTAAGTTAACAAAGAGCAGTGTATTTGTAGAGTTTTACTTGGCAAAAACGTTATCGATATATTAAGTCCGTACTTCCGTTTCTCCACAGGAACACGGTAATAAGTTTTTCAAGCGTGATGACTGATCGCGTTACGCCTTCTTTTTACAGAGCCGGAAAAACTCCAGATCATTCAGCAGTATCTCAAGTCGTCGGCAGGCAAATTGACGGGGCAGAACGTTACATCCGGTGAACCGATCACGTCTACGTTTTCGAACGATGAGCTAAATTTGACAATCATGGCGAGTAGGATAACACCTACGTCGACGCTGGTGAGCGCCGATGCGTTCACTATGAGCGCCCTTTTAAACAGCGACCCGTCATTTCCGGAAAGCACTTCTTCACCGACAGGTGAAGCGGAAACGGAAGCTATGAGTCAAAACGCTAATGCGACGAGATATTGCGACGATTGCTTCGAAGGCGAGGTGTGCGTCGCTCTCGTTGACGAACAAGTGCCGATATGTAGGAGCCCCCGCGATCGCGAGGATCCCACCGGATGTGCCGGTTTCTGCATCATCAATAAGCAGAAATGTCATCGCCTTGACGTGGATGCCTTCAGGTTCGTCGATGCTTATCTTTCATTAAAATCATTCATATCATTGATGAATTACGCACAAGTAATTGATGAATCGCGTGTATTTGCAGATGCCTCGGTGTACAGATATGCAAATAATAATTTATAATCGGATAATTATTATTTATTTCAACGACTTGTTTGTTACAGGTGTTTGGAAATCGAGCACTATTGCCTGGATGACGAATGGACTTGCTCCAACACATTGTGCATTCCCTTCGACAAGCGTTGCGACGGGCACATGAATTGTTACGATCATTCAGACGAGTTCGATTGCGGTAAGTGTAAATGGAATTAAAAATCACGTTTCGAATCATTCAAGTTGCACTCTTGCTTTCTCTCGAGATGCGAGAATAAAAACGAATGAATAAGATTTTGACCTTTGACAGTAGTTTATATTCATGTTGCATTATCATTGACTTATGTTTCTTCGTGGAGATCGAAATCCCGGAAGAAATACTACAATTTTGCATAAAATAGATGACGAACAAAATAGTCCTATATTCTATTTTCGCTTATTATTGCAATTAATAATTTACACATAAATAAATTGTATAATTCATAATTATTTATAATATGTTAAAGCGCGCGCGCGCGCTAGATAAATACTATTCGTGCATGATTTTGAAATATCGTGGAGCATCATAAGCCGGTCACATGTTTTCCGCGTGCGACTTGTCTCTCGTTAGAACCTGCCGCATTGCCCTAGTTTGAAGTGACCCATTTCTTTCTGTTATCGGCTTTTCTACTTTGCTATTATTTGTGAGGCTTCGGTTTACTGATTTTTTTTTGCTTGATTTTTTTTATTTTTATTACTTGATCACACATCTCTCACGTTAAAACTGAAGCACAATTGCGAATTGTGATAATTCACGGACAGATTTGATAAAATGCATTTTAAAAATACCGTCAAGTTAGAGTACATTAATTTTAATCAAATATGTAAATTATTCTCCTCGAAAAGACTATTTTATTGTGAATTTATTCATTTGCAGATATATAGATATGCGAAATTGCTTTTGTGTGACCCTCCCTCCGAAAAAAATTAACTTTTAACAAAAATCAATTTTTGAGAAGAACGCGTTTAAAGTTTGTTGTATTATACAATAAATAAATTTGGTAAATAAACTAACTAATGTTTTTCATCTTTCTAAACGTGTGACAGAAATATCAAATCTCTTAATTTCAAACTCGTTTTAGTTATTTGAAATAGATGATTCATAGATATTAAAGTCTAAAAATGAGCTGGCGAGATGACAATATTGACCATTAAAAGTTCCGACTATTAGAGATATCAAGTTTCCACATCGTAACTAATTCCTATTATTGTTTAATTTCTGTTTCCATAATTTCAACCGAGAAAACTATTGTGTGATAAATTACATATATACTTGTTATAAATATGAAAGTATACATGTCAGACCAAACAAACCGCGCGTAATTACTCGCTTGAGAATTTATAACGAGAGCTACTTGTAATATTTAATGTGGGCGTCCCGCGGGGGTACGAAGGTATGCGCGGATGCAAAGTACGCGAGGCAAATAGAATGTGATGCTATCTAGAGCGCTACGCGTTCTTTTTCAGTCTGCAATCTGGAGACGCATTTTCAGTGCGGTAACGAGACTTCCTGCCTTCCGCTGGAGAGGAGATGCGACGGAAAGATAGATTGCTGGGACGCAACCGACGAGATTAATTGCACGTTAGGTGAGCATTCCAGCGTACTGCAATAACGATAGTATGAGCTTTCCAAGTGTTGGACGAATGAACATGTTACGTTATTTTGTTGCAATATGGTATAGGAATATCAGTTTTCGTAGAATGTCTATGGTAGAAATTACTTGCAATTCAAAACAGAAAAGAGCCTGCTGAGGGGAGTTACATTGTCAAATATTATAAAAATAAAAAATAGTCCTATGTATTTGTGAAGCATTCCCTCAGTTACATTTATTTCGATTCTATCACATGTAACAAGAGATAATGGTTACGGAGAAACGCTCTACATTTTTTTAGATAGTTGCTCGAAAATTCTATTTTTCCTAAGAACATCTTGTTCTTAAAAGCTATCAACACAGAATTGAAAATTATTCGTAGTCTTGCGTTTATAGTTTGCCTCATAAAGTTCAGGTTTTCATATCTTCTCTTTTTTCTTTTTCGTAGGTCGTAATCTTGGTTGGTGTGAGTACATATTTATATTTTAGGTGGCATGGATATTTTATACGAAAATATTTGCACTTTTGTCTACGCTGTCGCTAATGCACGAGTTTTATTAACGCTTCTCTTGCACTGACCGATGAAATCATTCGTGATTTCTCTCATGCGATATTAGCATTAGTTATTTTACTCAAACACTAACTTGTTTTTTATTAAAAGAAACGTTGCATGATCTATGATGATTTGTTTGTATCTATTGCATATTACACGTAGATTTGGGACTCGAGTGTTGCAAATAAAGATAATTTGAAGATAAAATAGCTCGTTGGAACTGGGACATCTTTTATAAATATGAGCTGAGAATAAGATGTATAAGAAATATATATTAGCATTTACTCGTCAAACATCCACTAAATGCAAATCGAGAGATTTTTATAAGAAAGATAATTTAATTCTGAGAATAGTATTAGGAAAATCTCTCTCACAATTTAGAACATCTGTTGTCGAATATTTGACGAATAAAAGTAGATTATTCAAAACAATATATTAATAATTTGACTTTCGTTTTAGCTTGTCCTCTGGATAATGAATTTACCTGCAGTAATGGAGAATGCATATTAAAAGTTCGTTTTTGCGATGGACTAGCAGACTGTAGCGATGGATCGGACGAACCTCACGGGTGCCAAGGGCGGTGCAATAAACATGAATTTACATGCCAGTAAGTAAACATTTCAAGATTTTTGTAAAAGACAGAGATATTATAATTAAGAAGGAAAGAAACATAAATAATAGGTAAATAATAGGTAATTTTTTCTGCGGAATTGAATTTTTAATCTTCTGAGATGATCATATTTTTCAAGCTACGTACACTTGAAACTTTTTGTATATTCTTTTCTACATTTTTTTACAGATTATCAGACAAGTTTTTTTTAATTCCTTTTTGCGAAATAAAACATAGAGAAAGATGTTGAACATTTTAATTAAAAAATTTTTTTATTAAATGTGGTTTAATTCTTAAAAAAAGAAAAATAGAAAAAAATTCGCAAAATCAAGTACTGATGTTTTATAATTATATATTTCTATTACGCAGAAACGGTAGATGCATTACGAAAGGGACGAAATGTAACGGGGTTGACGATTGTGGAGATGGTACGGATGAGAGGCACTGTAAAGATCGATTTACTTAGTGCTGAAACGTAAAGGGAAACATTGCCAATCAGAGAAAAATCAAATGCAGTATTTTATACGAATAAATGTATGTAATGTATATAGTGTGTTGTATAGACGGAAATATGGACAATATATATATTGAAATGGTTTACTTATTAAAAATGCAAAAAATCCTTTCTTTCGTATCTTTTGTTCTTTAACTTTTAACATGTGTAAAAAAGTAACAAAAAAGTGAGTTTTTACAATTTTTTTATTATGCCACTATTAAGTCTACACTTGATTTGTTGAGCACATATAACTGATAATTATAAATATTAAGATTATGCAAACTAATTTTATATTCCTGCTCATAAAAAAAGATTAAGTGAAATATCGCGTTATCGTGTGATATAAATGATTTAATCTATAATGGATATTCTGTTCTAAATAAGCATTTACTTATTATTCAGAAATATTGTAAAATCTAACAATAAGTGATATGTAGCAAACACAAAATGCAAGTTTTGCTATATATTCTTTTCAGATTCGATTAAAATCCCTTTTATCATCTCGATTTTTCCTTAACAAAT